AAGGCAGGGTTTCTGTCAATCGTGAGAAAGGGCTGTCAGGCCTCCCCAGGTAGAGGTGCATGATACAGACTGGCGTGCACGGCAAGTCACTTCTCAGCCCTGGGCTCCCAAAACACCAGCCCAAACATCTGAGGCTCCTGACCCGGCTCTGTTCCTTCCGAGTGAAACGCTACCAGACCGAGTGTCCGTGCAAGTGTCACCAGCGTAGTCCCCCGTGAAGCAGAAACTAGCGTGCGCACACATGCACTGTAATGAAACAGGCGTGTCCCAGCACACACCACAGGCGCTACAATGCTCTAGATTCTGGGCTTCCGTTCCAACTGGGAAATTCTTAACCTGGGAGAGATACCTCGTGTGCCGGTGGAAGCCCAAGAAGTGACAGGGTCTTTGGCATTTTAACAGCAAGTTTTTATTGCTTTGAGGGTTTCCCTAGAGTAGGCATCCTGTGGCACAGGGTTCCTTCGTCTCGGAAGTTGCTGTTCCCAGCGTAACGGAAGGGGAAGGAGTGCAGGCTTTGAAATCCAGACCAATGGGGCTGCGTCAAGGAAATCCAATCCACCAGCCCTTCTGGGGCCTGAGCTAGAATGAATCCTACTGGCCTAACTAGGGGGACTGCAGAGAGCTGGAAGCTGACAGGAAAGCAAGGTGGAGTGGCCGTTTGTCTTAGAGCAAAGAGACCGGATGCTCCACACGTAGGAGAGGGCACACTGGTTTGCTAACTGCAAGCTTAGTACACCCAGGAGACAGGCACCCACTGGGGAGAGCTGCACGCCTGCTCGAAGGCTGCTTGTAATTTCTTCAGGATTTCGTCGACGCCGTTATTGACCAGCGAGAGGTCAAAGTAGTGCGCGTACTGGCTGCGGATGGCCTCGGAGTCCTTCTGCAGTTGCTGCAGGGCTTCCGTCTGCAGAGAATGGAAGAGGGACAGGAGTGTGATGAAATAGGGCTTCCTGGGGAGCCAGGCGGCTGCAAAGGGGCTGCACTTCGTGGTGCGGCACCCCACGCCTTCTGAAGGTGAGGTCTGGGACAAAGGGAAATGCCAAATTAGCAGGGGCAGAGCTAAATGCTTTCTGGGCGAGAACTGAAGCCGTGGCCTTGTCTGAAGGTTGCTGGCTGTCCATCAGAGGCTGCTCCTGCCACTGGGTCATTTGTTTTACTTGGCAAAATGAGGAGTGCATTCTCACTGGGACCCAGTAATCCTACTTGGGGCAGTGTGTCCTCCGGATTGCAGCTGAAATACTGTTTATGATAGGAGGTTTGAAAACAGCCCCGATGAACACATTCTGACACACACAGCTGTTTGAAAAGCAAAAAGACTGAGGAAGTGCTGTGCACGCTGACGGGCTGCATAATCTGCATGTGGCTCGAAAAAAAAACCTATTTGGAGGATACATTACAAACTGAACAGGGATTCCTTGGGTAGGGTTGGGGTGGGGCCGCTAGGAGCTGGGTAGTGGGGGGCGTTCCTTTCCTATGTTGTTCATGACCTTCTACCGCAGACCTGGGCCCCTCTCCCTCCCTCCCTCCCTCCCTCCCCTCTGTGCTCCCCCAGCTCCCTCTGCTCCTTCCACCCAAGTGCTCATCACACCAAAGCGTCAGGATTTGACGCCTTGGCCATCTCTGCCACTGGACACCAAGCACCCCCAGAACAATGACTGTCCACCTTTGGCTGTTTGGCCTTAGAGGCTGTTTGGCCTTAGAGGAAGGAGGACAGCAGTAGCAAGGAGGCTCATGGGAAACATGGCCACAAGCGAGAGCTGAGCCCCAACCGCAACACTGCCTCCTGCCCACCTGAGTGTCCCGGTCGGTTGGTGCTATGAACACAATGAAAGGTGAGAGCTCTGCTGTGCGAACAATCTTCAGGGTCTGGAAACAGGAAGGCGGACAAAGACTGAGCTATCAGCCCTTCGAACCAGCAGCCCGACTTCATCAATCCCTACTACTGTCCAGAATTTCTACTCCTACTGTTGTTACTCCAGGCTGATCCCCTAAAAGTACGTTAAGCAACCCTGAGCTCCCCGAAGATTCCCACAGGCTTTGCCTTCCAGCCTCCCTCCCAACCCCACCCCACCCCACCTCTTCTGCCTACTAACCTGGGGCTCGATGTCAAGGATGGCGATTTTGCCCTGCTGGTGAATCCGGTGCACTGTTTCAAACTTGGTCCCAAACATGTTGCCCTGGTAGCTGCCAAACTGCAGGAACTCATTGGCAGAGATGCTCTTTGTCATCTCCTCAGTGGAGATGAAGTGGTAATCCTTCCCGTCCTCCTCACTCTTCCTGGGTGGCCGTGTGGTATCTGCGTATGAGAACCCAAAATGCCCTGACTCACCTGGGTCCTCACCGGCTTGCACCATGGTTGTACTGACAACCGAGCTGCCTCTGATGAAGAGAGTTGATGAGAGGGTTTAGCCCACAGGATGCTGAAAGCCTAACGACTGGAGGTGATACAGCCCAGGAAATCCATCTTCAACTATTCTTAAAAGGCACAGCATTTTCTATTCCTTAGAAAGTCGCCCTTTATGTAAAATAAGCCCCAGCCATTGTAGCTAGAGAGAAACAATGTACTCCCAACCTCTCCTTCCTTCTAGACCTTTTCATCGCCACTGAACATCTCCTTTGGCTTCTGCATCAACTCGTTTCTCTCAATGGGCTCCCTTCCCCTCAATCGCTAAGCACCCTCGAATCTCCTTCCCCGTTAAACCACCACCCTCCTTAGGCCTCGCCATGCTCTCGTGCTCCCTTCTCACTCAAGCTTCCTGAACGAGGGCCCTGTATTGGTGCTTCCTACTCCTCCACTGACCCCTCAGCCCAAGGGCAGCTGCCTTCTGCTCGTCCCATGCCAGACACTCCTCTCAGGGAGCCATGAGTCAAAGAGCACAATGGAAAATAAAAGAATCAAAAATCAGGAATCTTAACCAGGCTTTAGAAAGCCGTTTTCTACAGAGATGAGCAAAATCTTTCTGGGAGTATATATAAGTGTGTGACAAGAATTCACTCCTGGGAAGGGAGCCATAACCTGTTGCCCACCTGCTCACGGGGCCTCTTTTGTTCTGCATCTAGGACTGCAAAGGCGCAACAGCCTGTCCTAAGTGTAGCTTTGGCTGAGACGTTTCATGAAAGTCAGAGGCAGCCTAAATCCCAAAGGGCAGGATGAGAACCGAGTGACCCCAGGGCCTCCGGTCCATGCCCTGCGAAGTCGTCCTCAACAGCAGGTCAAACAGTCAGTACGGGAATGGGAGCAATGTTTCCAACATAAAGTGAAATGAAAACCAATATGCACAAAATGTGAATAATATATGACTTAAGTTTCTAAACAGGATAAAAATATGTTTCCTATAGCTTCTAAGGAGCTCTGGTAGCATAGTGCCTAAGGCACTTGACTGCTAACCAGAAGGCTGGTGGTTCAAACCCACCGGCCATTCCTCGGAAGGAAGATGGGGCAATCTACTTCCGTAGTGATACTGCCTCGGAAACCCAAGGAGGGGTCGCTATGGCTCGGGTCCGACTCCACGGCACATAACAACAACAACATAGCTTCTACGGGGAAATAGCATGGAAGAGGATGAGGAAGCACTGTTTTGTTACTTGGAGCGAGTACAGGTAAAAATGACTACCTGCTTATCTTTCTAGCTTTTGTTGTTTTAGAATCAAACATTTAAAGTAAGGTATCAAAAAATCGACCGCTACAGTATGTCGGACTGAGTGGGGCAGTGCACACGATCAAGTGCACGCGGAGCAGGCACCTCGTCCAGCACGGCAGGAGCTACTTACGTGGGGCAGGGTACATGAACTTCTCTGGATTCTGGCTGAGCAGGGCATTCTTAATGTGGCTGCGACCCACCCCAGCGGCTCCTGTGAAGGGAGAGAGAGCAACCAGGCTGAGAGGGTTCTGATGAAGACTGCCATCTGCCTCGGAAAAGAGAAGGGCACGGGAGCAGGAATGGGGCTGCCATACAGATTCAGAGCTTTGCTGCTTTTTTCACAACTGTTAAAAGAGCTTCTTGGGGCTAAGTCAGGACTCAGAATATAACTCATTTCGACAGAGGAGCCAGTTAATGAGGAGTTTTCTACACATTTTGTTAAGTGTATCAGTTTTCTGAGCTCTCTGAAATCAACAGACCCCGAAGAGTCTTTATACTCTAGTGGGATCCAAGAGACCTCACTTCTTTTCTTCCTCACTGCCGTTTTTTTTTTTTTTTTTTTTTAATTTCCAAGCAGCCAGGAAAACAAGGACAAAAATGTTCTCTTGAATTAGCAAAGCAGCATGGGGGCAATGAGACGGTACCTATCAGAACCAGGGTCTTCCTCTTGAAAGCAGGGAGTCGAACAACTTCTTCATAGGAAACAACGTCCAACTGGTCAAAAACTAGAGACAAAGAGAACCAAGCCCCGTTCACTCCTTGCTGGAGGCCCCCTTTCTGTCTCTATGAGACATGCCCAGGTCCCTTCCAAGCCCCTTTCCAAGTATAACCCACTGCTGACCTTCAGAAACAGTAGAAAAATCAAACAACCAGAACTCAGGTGCATTAAACCCTCAAATACAACTCTCTGGGAACATGAGCAAATTATGTTGTGCACACTGTTTCACCACACGGAAGGTGTAACTATCAAGCCAGCCAGGGCTGACAGCGGAAGATGCTCAGAGACTAGGGTTGATCAACGGTGTATAAGAAACACGACAACGTACAGTAGTCATCACCTAGAATTTTCAACCAAGAGGTGGTCTTCGGTGTCTAGAGTTGCAGTGACAAATACCGTAAGCGATGGCTTTCACAAACAAAATTTCTTCTCTCAAAGTATAAGATGATAGAAGCTCAAATTCAGAGCTCCAGCACTAGGGGAAGGTTTTCTCTCACTGTTGGCTCTGGGGCCCCCACATATCCATGTCCTGGCAACAAGCAAAATGCTTTCACCCAATCATACAATGGCAAAAATCTTAAGTCAACTCCAAGTGCAAGTTCCATCCTGGGGCACAGTTCCTCTTCATCTGTGAATCCAGAAGACAAGTCACCTTCTTCTGAAGTATGACAGAGACACAAGCACAAGGCAGATGTTGCCATTACAAATGGGAGAAACTGGAGGGAAAAAAGGCTAACGAGTACCAAGCAAGTCCCAAACCCAGCACAACAGTTTACATTAGCTCTCAAGGTTTCAAATAATCCCCCATTCACTGAGACCATCTAGGCAGTGGCCCTGCCCGCCACTTTTGGGGTGTTGGCCAGGCTCTCCGGATTGCAGTTACAGGCCACTCGGCCCTAGACATCAAGAATGCGGCCCAGGCCCACTGGAATGACAAGCCTGCTCTTTCAGCTTTGGGTAGCTCCATTCTCCTAGTCCATCTTGGGTCCTGTTCTTCTGCCCCTTGCCATGGCAAAAGGACTCAGCTTTGGCCAGCAGATGCGGCCCCACTCCCTGGCAGTCATGAATGGCAGCCCCACACTCTGGAACCAAGTTGATGAAGATCTTACTCTTTGAAACCTACGAAGCTGGGGCCTCAATCTTTGGAGACCCCAGAGGTCGTGGCCCCATTCTGCTTTCCATGCTCCTTGTGTCTTCAGTTTCTGCTGCCTGGTTCCTTGGCTCCTTGGCCCCTCAAGGCTCTGGGGCTGGCCCAGCGTCTGCCTTGCTCAGGAAAGTGGTGCAAAGCTATGTAGGTCTATAGATAGATAAGTGCCCACAGGCACCCCGTTCTGCCAGTAAGCTTCCTGCCCAAAGATGCCCCGCTCTCTCACTCTGTGCCCATCTCCTGGTTCTGCTGCGTCCACCCTCCAGTGTTACAGCTCCACTCACTTCTTTCTGAGCCCTGACCAGAACTGCCTTTGAAGTCCACAATTCCACCAACACTCTTCAAGGGAATCTAGGCTTTTCCTATTAAACCAAACCTTAAAACTCTTCCAGGCTCAACCCACTTCCCAGTTCCAAAACTGCTTCCGCATTCCAGGTATCTGTTTGAGCGGCTCCTCACTCCCGGCACTAACTTCTGCCTCAGTTCCCTAGTGCTGCTGTAACTGAGATACCACAAGCGGATGGCTTTAACAAACAGAAATGTGTTCTCAGACGGTTCAGGAGGCTAGAAATCCAAATTCAAGGTGCCAGGTCTAGGGAAAGGTTTTCTCTCTCTGTCTAGGAGAAGGTTCTTGTGTCCTTCCAAGATCTGTGGGCTTGGCATTCCTTAGTGATCTACACATACGTAAGTCTTAATATCAAACTTCCCCTGGTTTAGGAGGTTCTCAGCACAAATGCACTCTACTCCCGACTCTTCTGTCTTGGTATGACTCCCTGCCATCGACTCGGATCTGACTCATAGCGACCCCTCCTTGGGTTTCCAAGGTGGTATCATTACAGAAGTAGATTGCCCAACCTTCCTTCTGAGGAGTGGCTGGTGGGTTTGAACAGCCAGCCGTCTGGTTAGCAGTCAAGTGCCTTAGGCACTACGCCACCAGAGCTCCCTAATGTCCACTAATGCCATTGTATCCCCTTTGGGAAGCAATACACCACCACAGCTAATTGTTGTTATGTGCCGTCGAGTCAAACCCGACTCATAGCGACCCCTTCTTGGGTTTCCGAGGCAGTATGACTACGGAAGTAGGATTGCCCAACCTTCCTTCCGAGGAGTGGCTGGTGGGTTTGAACCGCCAGCTGTCTGGTTAGCAGGCAAGTGTCTTAGCCACTATGCCACAGCTAATAGGTCCCTTTTTCTCTGCTCACTTCTCTCCCTTTGTCTCTCGTAAGATAAAGGGCAGATAAAGGGTGCTGCAGGCCATGCACCTCACCTCAGGGAAGCTCCCCTTACATCAGATTAGGGCTGTGACCTGAGGAAGAGGGTGGATCCCACACTAATCCCCTTACTCTGACTGGCCTGATCACATCAGATCCCATTATGGGGGTCATTACATCATTACGTAACTGCCAAACCACTGAGAATCCTGCCTAGTCAAGTTGACACATATTTTTAGGGGATACAATTCAATCCATGACAGATAGTATATGACAAAAATAAATAAGCAGTTTGATTTCCATAGGCTACCCACTGATTTTTATTTTAGCAACTGAATTCTAAATGCTAGGAATCCTTTCTTGATCTCTGACTGCTACTACCTACCACATGTACATAGCACCCTGTTGTGTTATGGATATAATACCCTCTCTAATCTATCTTTTTTCTACTCTAAAAAAAAACCAAAAACCAAATCTATTGCCATCAAGTTGATTCCAACTCAAGAGTGACCCAGAATTGCCCCATAGGCTATAAATCTTTACAGAAGCAGACTGCCTGCCTCATCGTTGCCCCACAGAGCGGCTGCTGGGTTTGAACCACCCACCTCTGGGTTAACAGCCGCACCACCAGAGCTCCTTTCTTTCCTCTAAGACACTATTAATTTTAAAACATTTTGTAGCAATTTTTCAGGGTGAAAAACACTATCACAATACATGTACATATCAATTTGAAGACACATTCTGATTTTGGGGATGTTACAAAGTAGAGAAAATGGAACTTGTTGTTGTTGTTAGGTGCCATCGAGTCACCTCCGACTCATAGCGACCCCACGCACAGCAGAACAAAACACCGCCCAATCCTGCACCAGCTCCGCAATCCTTGCTGTACTTGAGCCCAACGTCGCAGCCACTTGTCAATCCATCTCATTGAGGGCCTTCCCCTCCTTTGTCGACCCTCCACCTTACCAACCATGACATCCTTCTCCAGGGAATGGTCCGTCCCTCTTGACAACATGACCAAAGTAGGTGAGACGAAGAAATGGAACTTAGCATGAAGGCAATATGCTAGTTAGAACTCTTTAAAACAGCTATTCTCTATTTTCCCAAACTAACTGTTTCCCCTGGCATCAGTTCTTCCGATGGAGCTTTGCCCTAATGCGTGGTAACTTTTGTTATCTTATGCTTACAAACTAGGCTCGATAGGCCGTTAGCTGGGCTTGATTCCCTAGCATGTGTGAGACATGACTGACTGCACCCTCAACAGGGCGGGCAGCTGACAACCCCAGGCTGTGGACTGGGTGATCAGGAGCTTCCCTTCAGAAGGAACCTTGGCTTCTAGGCATGGGGGTGGGGTAGAGGGGCTCTGTGCTGCTTGAAGCACTTGAAATGGCCTGAGATACCATTTAGCTTCTCCCCACTGCAAACCCCCACTACAGTAAAAGAGCAGCACTTACAGTTTTCTCAGGGGGCAGTAGCCATAGCCTGCTTTTTGGAAAACTGGAACTGGCACAGCTGTTTTGCAACATTTGAATTTTGGCTCATTCCTGCCCATGCTATTTCTTATCTTTTATTTTGGTCGAATCTTGCAAAGGGAACTCTTGTGAGCTTGGTCAGCCATGGTGAACCCTAATTCCAACTCTCCTGGTATTTGTGACATCGCCTTGCTTTTATCATCCTGCCCTTCCGATCAGTTCTTCTTGGTTGTCCTCATGGGTTTCCCCCAATTACCCTGATGTGTTGGCTTAGTCCTTGTGGGCGTTGTAGTTCATCGTTCTGACTTCACATCGATGTCGGTGCCTCAAGCTTGATAACCTTTCACAGTGAGTGCTAGGTTACGGAAAAAGGGGATCATCCTACACAATGGCCAAAAAATAACAGGAAGGTTTCAGTATTTTTTAAAATGAAAAATCGAAGGAAAATTAGAGAAAAGTGGGACAGGGTGGGAATGGAGAGAGAATGTACACTTGTTGATTATGTACTGTACATCAGACAATGTGCTGCTGTTGTTGTTATGTGCCGTCGAGTCGGACCCGACTCCTAGCGACCCTTCCTTGGGTTTCTGAGGCAGTATCACTACGGAAGTAGATTGCCCAGTCTTCCTTCTGAGGAGTGGCTGGTGGGTTTGAACCACCAGCCTTCTGGTTAGCAGTCAAGTGCCTTAGGCACTATGCTACCAGAGCTCCCAGACAATGTGCTAGGTGCTTAATAATCTTTTTTCTACTTAATGTTTATAAGACTAAGTGGTGGGCAGTATAATCGGCATGTTACAAAAGTTAAGCGGCTTGTTCCCTCCACAGAGGCAGCTCCCAGTCTAGCAGCAAGAGCAACAAGAAGCAAACACACAAACAAACATTGAGATGATCATACATCTTGTTCTTCCCCCACTGCCACAGAGCACATCAAACCCCCGCTGAAAACCCATAAAACTCCTCAACTGCTACCCAGAGACTGCATTTTACAATCTCAAACCCTAAAAAATGGCATCAAGGCTCCCTATGATCTTGCCTGGGTTCTCACCCCACTTCCCCTCTCCTGCCACTGACACTCCAGCCATGTCCACTTCCCGGTTATGCAATTACAGGCTTCTGCAACTGGCTCCAACAGAGGGAGGCACTTAGGAAGTGACAGCTGAATGACAGATTATTATTCATTTGGTAATCTGAAATCATATAATTTTAGTATGTTGTATTTCCAACCATGGTAGGCAAAAGAACAAATCCAGAATTAGCTTGCAAGAAAACACACTATTCTCTGGGGATGCCCAAACCTTGCAGCTGGGTTATGACAAACTGAACAAGTGAGCGTGTGAAATGCTGTTTCTTGTTGTACACAAATTTAATGACAGAAAAAAGGCAATCATGCCAACAGACAACCTGTAAGAAAGAGAAAATGCACGAACACAGCAGTGTCGACAGTCCAAAATGATCCAATGAGGAATCACATTGAGAGAAAGACCCAAAACACTCTATTAAGGACCAAGCACAGACACTGTGAAATCTGAAACACGGATGTCCAGGTTCAGCAGATTCTCGACATGCCAGAGCAGCGCTTTCTGACACCTATGCAAGCAATTTCCCGGATTCTCAACTACTGGTGTGCCAGACAGCTTGTCCTGCAAAATGGCAGGAAGTAGAAATTACTTTCTAGATGATACATCGCAAGGAATACTGTACCCATGGGCAGTACTGTCCTTTTTCTGCTGGTTAAAGACACCGGAAAACACACTACATGCTTGCTGCCAGGAGCCTGGACAGAGAAGATGCTTGGAATGCTTACTTGAGCTGTGCTTTGCCAGATACTTGTCTTTGTACTTCTTTTTCTTCCCAAAGGGACTGCAACTTGGGGCTTCACTTGGAGCCGACTGAGCCATACTCGCCACTCGCCTAGTAGGACAAAGACAACAATTACCAGAGGTTCCTCAGTGTTAGAGGCAGGTTAGATCCTCAAGGTCTTCTCTCTGGCCTGTGACCACAGCTCTGGGACCCTCTTTCTTTTGGACACTAAATATCTAGGTCTGATCACCTTCTTCCCTTCCATACGAGACACTTGTGAAACCAAACTCAATTTCTCACAGTCTCCACCCTCATGTCCCAGAAGCAAACATTAAGTCAAATGAGAATTTCTCGGCTACTGACTAGAATGAAAGCAGAAAAGGGGTCCACCGTTAGCCATGACCACGTCTGCCACTCGTCTGTCAGTCTGCCAGACTGTGGTGGCTCACATGTAGCTGTGAGGCTGGAGGCTATGCCACCAGTATTTCAAATACCAGCAGTGTCATCCCTGGTAGATGGGTTTAAGCCAAGCTTCCAGACTAAGACAGACTGGAAAGAAGGAAAGAACCATCCACTTCTGAGCAAAATGGGACTGCGAAAACCTTAAGAATAACAGCAGAAAGTTTTCTGATATAATGTTGGAAGATGAGCCCCCAGGTCACAAGGCACTCAAAATACAACAGGGGAAGAGCTTCCTCCTCAAAGTAGAGTCAACCTTAATGACGTGGATGGAGTGAAAAGCAAAAAAAAAGATCTTCCTTTGCTGAGGGGACATGACTCAAAATGGGAATAAACAGCTGAAATATCCATCAATAATCGGAACGTGAAATGTATGAAGTACGAATGCAGGAAAATTGGAAGTTATCAAAATTGAAAGGGACACTTGAAGATAGATATCCTAGGCATTAGTGAGCTGAAATGGACTTGTATTGTCCATGTTGTATCAGACAATCATATGGTCTACTATGCCAGGAATGACAAATTGAAGAAGAACAGTATGACATTCATTGTCACAAAGAATGTATCAAACTCTATCCTGAAATGCAATGCTGTCAGTGATAGGAAAATATCCATACTCCTACAAGGAAGACCAGTTAATACTACTACTATTCAAATGTACAGACAACCACGAAATCCAAAGACAAGGAAATTGAAGATTTTTACCAACTTCTGCAGTCTGAAATTGAGCAAATGTGAAATCAAGATGCATCGATAATTACTAGT